CCCCGTCCGGGGGGGTGCAGCCCCACTCCCAGCTGCCCACCGCCTTCCGCGCCGAGTGGGAGCCGCCGGGCGCTCGAGCGCAGAGCGCCGCGCAGCGCCCGCTGCACCTGGGCTTCCTCTGCGAGTACGACGCGCTGCCGGGCATCGGCCACGCCTGCGGCCACAACCTCATCGCCGAGGTCGGGGCGGCCGCCGCGTTGGGCGTCAAGGGGGCCCTGGAGGGCCTCTCCGGACCGCCTCCGCCGGTGAAGGTAAGGTGGAACCCCGGGCGCGGGATTCCATCCTCCTGCCCCGACTGGAATGGCAGGGAGCCTCACCCGCGCTGGCCCCCTTTCCAGCCTGTGCGCCTCCCCAGCCGCCGGGCAGGTGTCGGTGATGGTGCTCAGTGTGCGGCCTAGCCTTGCCAAAAGGCCGAACAGAACCCCTAGAAAAGGCAAGAGTTGACGTGTGGACAACCTAGCGACACTTTGCAGATTTTTGTCTCCTCGTCTATAGTTGTAAACAACGCAGTAGACTCTCTCCCTTAGGAAAGAACTTAAGAACCAAGCCTGGTTTTCGTTACAGGTTATTTTTGGTAACTGAGAGGCCACCACAATTTGCTGACGAGGTTGTGCAGTCTCTGAAGGAAGTAACTTTTGTAGGCAAACTTACAGTCCCTCTTTAAGCTCCAGAAAAATCTTTTGTTTGTGGCAGTCACAGGAGCTGTGGTGATTCAATTAATTGGTATTTTAATAGGAAATTTTCATTCGTGAGAACCGCCAAACCTCTCGAAGTATTCAAGTAATGGGGAAGTCAATGAACATTTATTACGGAGATGAGTTCATCCTTAAATCTTTCTTTATATTTCACGATTTTAAGAAATATCTGGATTCTTTTAAAGGGGAACTGTTTATGTTTGTCATAGGGCAAGTTTAATCTGGTGTTACTCTGTTTCTCCAGATGGTATATTCTTCATTCTGTGAGCTAAAATTCAGCCATCATTCAGGTTAAGGGGAAGACGAATGTTTTGTGTTAATATTCTTTAGCCTCATTCTTCCCCCAGTGTCTTTATCCTAACTGTTCCATCTTTTGTATCTTTCTCTTTAGTTGCCTTCTATTTTCTGCCTCTGGGGGCTGTTTTTGTTGTTGGTTAGGTGTTTGTTTGGGGGTGGGAGCCTACATTGCCGGTGCATGAAAAACTGGGGAGATTGAAGTTTACCCCGGGTTATGAAAGGGTTCCCGTTGTCAGCAAGAGACAGATCAGAGTTAATGAGTCATGGTTTAAGAGTAAAGAGCAGCTTATGAGTTTGTGTGCTTCATAACTTCTAAAGAAAGGTAGACTTTGGGAAATGTACAGAAATTGTACTTTCAAGTGATTCTCAGTTTTAGCAAAGTTATGTGTCTTATATAAAAATCGAATTTAAGTTGATTCCCTTTGCAAGCCAAGACTCTTGCAGTTGTTTCATTGTGTTCTTATACATGATCTTGAAAGCATATTAGTTGTTAATAGTTCATTTTTATTTGCTTTTTAAAATTGTTTGAAGACATTAAGCTTAAATATGTAAGTAAAATGTTTATTCTGTAAAGTTCTCTTTTGTTTAATTAGGTGTTTGGTGACCAATAAATCTGCCTGGTTGAACTGGTGGAATCGAATTAGTAAGTTTGTGTAATAGTTGGCCGTTTCTAACTGGTATTAAGATTTGTTTAATGCTCTTTGTAAAGGATAATTAGTTAAGACTTACGTAGCTCAGTAAGGAATCAGAATTCAGGCCTGATAGTCAGGACATTTAATCTTACCTCTGCCTCAAGACCTGGTCTGTGATATGGGGCAAGACACTTCATTCTATTCCTTAAAGTCACCCTTCCTAAAGTGATGATACAAATCACTCACCTACCTCACAGGGTTGTTGTGAGGATAACACAACAATTACTTTCCAGTAAAGTACTTATGAATATTTGTATGCATCTACTAAAAGGCTTAGTCAAGAAGACTTAAGAACAGATTTTGAGCAACTAAGTGTGCCTTATTTAACTGTCTCGTCTTTGCCATTAGTCATATAAAATTGGATTGTAAAACTGGAAAAAGCTTCTTATTTTGTCTTTAGTACATACTGTGCACCAAATTGGTATAACAATAAAAATTAAATTTTGTGATTAATTTAGCAACATATATTTATGTCCACTGCATAAGTATCAGAAAACAAAACTTCTCCCAGTAGTTTAGGACTTTAATATAGATTGTGAATACAGGGGAACCTGTTTGCTATCTTTCTACTAGGATTTTTTGTCGTTGCTTTGCTCTGACATAGTATTTCCTTCTAGGTAATTGTCCTGGGAACGCCTGCAGAAGAAGATGGTGGTGGCAAAATTGATTTAATTGAAGCAGGGGCTTTTAAAAATCTTGATGTTGTTTTTATGGCCCATCCATCCCAAGAGAATGCTGCCTATCTACCGGATGTGGCTGAACATGAGTAAGTAATTGAGTTTAAGATAAACTTCTTAGTAGAAAACAAACTATAGAATATTTTAATGTATATACAGGAGACTAAAACTCCACATTTAAACATTTAAAAAGTAAATTGGGGAACCAGCAGTTAGCGTAATGGCTATGTTGCTGGACTCCCACATAGTTGACCGCGGTTCGTGTCCCAGACCCGGTGGCTTAAAACTCATGCCGGGCGCGTGTGCGTGCGTGCCCAAGATCCCGAGAGGAGAATGGAGGAGAAGGGATTGCGGCGTGACCATCCCCCCTGGGGGGTGATTTCTCGCTTTCTGTCTCTATGTCTCTGTCTGTCTGGCGAGCGCACGCGCCCTATAGTGAAAATCTCTCCAAAAAAAAAAAAGTAAATTGAAGGCCAGCTGGTGGTGTGGTGGTTAAAGAAGCTAGATCCCACATAGCTAACTGTGTGGTTCAGTGGTGTACCTGACCACTCGAAAAACATGCCGGGTACATGTGTGTGAGTGCCCAGAATTCTGGAAGAAGAGATGAGGGAGGAAGGATTCTAGGGAGACCATTGTCCATGGAGGATGCTTCCTCACTTTCCCTCTGTCTGTCCAGTGAGTACATATGCCCTCTGGCAAATTAAAAAAATTATTAACTCCTTCCATAAGACCTTTATGTCTGTTAAAAGTTTGAACCCTGGAAGAGGTGGCATTAGAAACATTTTATTGATTTAATTTATTTTAAAAACTTTTTGTCAGAGGGCTTGTGTGCTTACCAGAGACAGAGAGGGGAAATGAGAAAGCTCCTCTCATGGGGAACAGTCACGCCACATCTCCTCCTCCATCTCTCCCTCCTTTCAGGATTCTGAACATGCGTGCACACTTGCCGGCATATTTTTTAAGCTGCAAGGTCTGCGACTCGAATCCTGCTATCAGCTGTATGGGCTCCAGCTACCTTAACCACCAGTTGGCTCGGTATTTTTTAAATAACCTGAATGTGGATACTGTGAAGGAGTGGCTCCACATGACCAACTTCATAGTTCAGATCCCCGACCTTGAAAAACTTGCAGGGCGCCTGTGCTTGCATGCCCAAAATCCCAAGAGGAGGATGGAGAAGGAATTTTGGCATGGCCATACCCCCTGAGGGGGTGATTTCTTACTTTCCTTTTCTCTCTCCTTCCCTCTCTCTGCATAAGCCCTATAGGGAAAAAAAAAAAAAAAAAAACTTTGGAAAAAAGTTAAGTTGCAAAAAGCATTACTTAAGCAAATCAATCACAGAGCTGTCAAAGTAACTATTTAATATGTACTCCTTTCTTTAAACCTTTTGTTTTGTTGTAGTTTTTGCTAGAGGGTACATGCACTTGCCAGAGAGGGGTGGAGAAAGCAACCCCTCCCACGGGAATGGTCATATCAATACTTTCTCCTTCACCTCCTCCTCCTTTCAGGATTTTTGGGCATGCACATGCATATTCATCCAGGTGTGTTTCTCAAGCTGCTGGATCTGGGATGTGAACTGTTGACTGGCCAGTGAGTTCTGGCTGCCTTAACCATCAGGTTATGGAGCTGGCCCTGAACCTTTTTTTTGTTGTTGTAGTTTGGTATGGGAACTATTTGTAAGTAGAGTAACACTTAGAAAATTTAAAACTGTCAATCTGTCAGTGATATAGGCATTTTGGAATGTTAATCAAATTTTGGTCAGGTACAACTAACCTGAAGCTAGGGTATTTTATGATAACATGTGAATACAATCTCATTTTCAGAGATCGTTTTAACCCATTTCAAATATTACCTCCTTCCTGTCTTTCCTTGACCTTCCCTTTTTCCTTTTCTTTTTTAGGTTTTTGCCATAGGGCACATATGCTTGCAAAAAGAGAGAGGCAGAGAGACATAGAGAGGAAAAGTGAGAAATCACCCCCCACAGGGAGGAATGGTGCAATCCCTTCTTCTGGGATTTTGGGCACACATGCATACGCTCCTAATATGTTTCAAGCCACTGGTTCCAGGACTCGAACTGCAGTCGGCCATGTTGAAATCCAACACTTCACCACTACGCCACCTGCTGATTCCAACCTTCCTTATCTTAAGACAGAATTATCTGAGTTTTTGCAGACCTTTTATGTAGAATTATCACAATGCATTATAAAAGGAGACTAGTCTTGGGAACCAGCAGTTAGCGTAATGGCTATGTCGCTGGACTCCCACGTAGTCGACCGCGGTTCGCGTCCCAGACCCAGTGGCTTAAAACTCACGCCGGGCGCATGTGCATGTGTGCCCAAGATCCCGAGAGGAGAATGGAGGAGAAGGGATTGCGGCGTGACCAGCCCCCCTGGGGGGTGATTTCTTGCTTTCTGTCTCTATGTCTTTCTCTGTCTGTCTGGCAAGCGCACACACCCTATAGCGAAAACCTCTCAA